GCCTCGACGACCTTCGGCGTGCGAGCAGTACGAGGTCTTCCACTTCTTCGGCGGTCTTGGAGTCCACCAAGGTCTCGATAACGTTGGAGTGTGCGATACACGACGCTGCGGTGGATGCCGAGGTGCTTAGCGATCGTGGCGCCGTGGGCGCGCAGGGCTTTGTGCAGCAATACGAACGACTAGCGGAACGATCAGGAGAAGGCTTCACCATTTCACTATGAATGGACCAAATTTAACCAAATTTTAACAGGAGTTAGAAAAAATGATGAGATTGAAAAATCCATAAACTTGGCCGCGGCTATTGTGGCCGATAGAAGCACGCCCTAACTGCACAGAGTCTTATGTCGCTGATAATCTATGGCCTACCCTGGAAGAGCCGTCGAACTTACTTTAGAGAAGAAGCTATGACGCTTATCATTCGAAGCCTGGCGCCCGCTTGAGAAACAGAGATTTTCCTCTTCACGGCAATTGAGCAGACACTTTGTGGGCAAACAGTAACCACAGAAATTTGTTTGCCAGACATCCCCTCCAGTAACCTGGAGGGCTTAAGGACAAATAAGATTCGAGAGTAATACAACTTCAATCAACTGGTAGAAACTGAAGAAAGAACAGCACTATCCACCCTCAATATTTCCACTTTTCAAGCACTCGTATACTTTCTAAGCTCGTCCCTAGGAGTAGATTTGACCAGAGGTTTGTTCATTAGGGTGGTTTGATTCCCCGAACGTCGAAAACGCCGCCGTCGAAAAAAAATGGATGTCGGACTCGTCTGGAGCGAAGCGCCTGATGCTCGCGTTACAGGCGCTGACACCACAGCCTAATTTTACCGCCTACACCTGCAGCAATGGCACTAGACGTTTTCACGTCAAAAAGAGATGATAATTGTACTCAGAGGATCAAAACTACTCACGGGGCAGACTTTCAGCCGAATTTACTGAATTGAGATATGCCCTGGCGCCAATAGGCCTTTGGACGGGGCCCATCTTGTGGCTCATCTCAAATCACCAAACTACAGGTATGATAAGCGGTCCACCTAGAGGCTTCCTGGCGAAGAAGAACCGCCTGTACGTCTGAAATCACAGATCCTGGTCTGAGAAGGTTTGCTCAGGTGGACTTCATGATAGATGTTCCAGCGAACACGCTTGAAAGATAAACAGTCAGAGCTGACGTTAACAAAAATAGCTGTTCAGGGATCGTTACATGGTCAATTCAGAAAGAAGAAGGGTGAAAGCTGTCCTCTTCCACAAGTAGCTCGATCTTTGCAGCTTCCGCCATCCGCCTTATCAGCCTTATAAGAACTGCGCTGGACTACGGCGTCGCTCACTTACTCCCTTGACCTTTCATCTTCCACCTTGCGCGATACCTAGAGACTAATCTGCGGAACGAGCTTCCGCAACGTGGACGGCTTCAGATTACGGACTGCATGGAATTCTTTGAAGGGCAGCACTGCAGTTTTGAGAGGGCGACATTTAGGTGCCCTCGAGAAACAGAACAGGTCTTATGATTAATTATTATTGGTAGCACAAACTGCCACCTGACTGGAATAAAATACCGGTGAAATGAGGATGTTCAACTGTCCCTCTGCTTTTGTAATGCTTATCCCTGACCTTCTTCCGGTCTCGGGGCTCTCGAAGCAATCATAATTTTCACCTATGCGGATGATACTATCCTTGGAGATGATGAATCCGCAGCTGCAGTAGCGTGCCACCTTCTCCGCGAAAAGGTCACGGTAGAGGGGCTTTTGGGCGGGACGGGGGGCGGGGGGAGGGGGCAGTTGATCATCCGGGTGCCGGTCACCCGTTTCCGCTCGCACTACCTTCAAGGTGCAACGCTTGTTAACATGCTAAGATCCCGATGCGAAGAACGCATCCAGCGATAGTCAACAAGCAGAAATAGAGGAGGGCGTCTACAGAGCAACGTGTTGATTAGCTACGGCTAAATGTGGGGCTGGACGCGCCAGCATGGGCGGCGTTGGTAGATGGGCACAAAGGTTTCGCTCTCCAGCAGCCCCGTTCTCGTGCACTTTTGACAGGGGAAAGTGACAAGCTGCTGCAGCTGCACACTCATTCACCCCGCTTATGGTCAGGACCATGATCCGCGGAGCTGACTGAAGAGTTTTTCTTCAACTGGTTCCGCATTTCAGAATATTTCATGCAAGAATTCTAAACATTTATGCAAGAAACTACTCGTCCTCGTGACATCAGTGTTTCTATGAGGAGAGAAAGAACACAACAATACCTTGAAATTGACTGCTCTTCGACCAAGACTGTTTCCGCACTTGTAATACAACCGCTACATGCTAGACAATCGTTAAGTGATATTTTCACTGCACCCTAAAACAGATTATGAACACGAACATGAACAATTCAACAGAAGTGAAACCCATGTTACCTTCTTTTCTCCATTTTTTACCGGCTGCCTTTTCCTAACTGCGACAAGAGGCTCTTCGACTACCCTTGTTTCCAACGGAATGATGCAATTCTGAATTTGAACAGTGAGACTTGAAAAAAAAATAATGCGCTTGGCTTTGATCAATGGGTGGTCGAGAATCCCCGAAATCCATGAAGGTCTTTTTTTGCCTGGTCCTGATTGATGAAGTATTTTCCAGCAAGGAGGTTCTGAAAATGTTTGAAAAGGTGATACTCGGTTGGTGAAAGGTCTGGAGGAATATGGCGGGTGAGGTAGAACTTCAACCCCCAACTTCGTTCAGTTTATGGATAGTGATTTGTGAAACGTGGGGGCGGACGTTGTCATACAAAAGAATCGGACCCTTTCTGTTGACAAGTGCTGCTGCAGACTAACCCCATTTCCTTGGTGCATTTTCGTCGATTCCTTTCCAGGTAGAGGTTCTGCTGTGATGGTTTTGGCCTGCACGTGATAAAAGGATTATGTGGCATCACCACCAGCGATGACCACTACACTGTGACCATACCTTTTTTTGGTGAAGATTCGGCTTTGGAAATTGCCTCGGTGGTTCGTCGGAATCCAACCACTGTCCGGAACGTCTCCTGTTATCATACATGATCCACTTTTCATCACAGGTGACAATTCGGTCCAAAAACGGGTTTTCTGTTGCGCAAAAAAAACAGTGAAGGAAAGAAACCTCGAGAGTGCCAATTTTCTGCCGGTCACTCAAATTGTGGGGCACCCACTTATCGAGTTTTTTCACCTTCCCAATGCGTTTCAGACCATCCGCAACAGTGGATTTGCCAACGCCTAGCTTTTCTGCAATCTCTCGAACTGTTTGGGATAGGTATCAGAAACACGCCTTCATATCCTCGTCAGTTGTTGGCTTTAGTGTCAACCATTACGATGGGTTCATTCTTAGAAAGGCTGAAAATCTCCAGACGAGAATTGTCGAACCATCGGTGCTTTCTCCAACACTGTTGGGCCCCCACACCTGGTTAAGTTGTCGAGCTGTCTCCACTGTGGATTGAATTTAATCGTCCGAAGTATTGCTCTTTTGACATGCTTCAAAAAAAGCTCTTGGAAGAAAGGGTTATCAAGCAATTGGAGGCGCGTGGTGGTGGTTGCGACAAGGTGGCGCGAGCTCACCACTCGCGCGGCGCCCGCGCCGTTTCAACAATCCCGGGTCGACTCCCGCCCAGGCCAACCAAGCCTTCTACCCTCCGGGGACGGTGAATTGGTACCAGATTCGTCTGGGAGGATAAAACACTGACTTGTACATCGGCGGCTGGCCACCGCAAGTCATTGTATAGGCCACATCGCATTCAATAAGCCACTACGATTCTGAATGGAAGTAGAATGCGTGCCGCATCCCACAAAGGGATTGATCAACGGCGAAGACTTTATCCTTTATCCTTTTATCCTAATGGTGAAAACGGCAATTATACCATCAGATACGCAAAAAAATTTCCCTTTAGGACTGATACTATGAGACGCAAGCAGACCGACTATCACCTTTTCAAACATTTTCAGAACTTCCTTGCTGGAAAATACTTCATCAATCAGGACCAGGCAAAAAAAGCCTTCGTGGATTTCGTGGATTCTCGACCACCCATTGATCAAAGCCAAACGCTTTATTTTTTTATTCTCAAGTCTCACTGTTCAAATTCAGAATTGCATCATTCCGTTGGAAACAAGGGTAGTCGAAGAGCCTCTTGTCGCAGTTAGGAAAAGGCAGCCGGTAAAAAATGGAGAAAAGAAGGTAACATGGGTTTCACTTCTGTTGAATTGTTCATGTTCGTGTTCATAATCTGTTTTAGGGTGCAGTGAAAATATCACTTAACGATTGTCTAGCATGTAGCGGTTGTATTACAAGTGCGGAAACAGTCTTGGTCGAAGAGCAGTCAATTTCAAGGTATTGTTGTGTTCTTTCTCTCCTCATAGAAACACTGATGTCACGAGGACGAGTAGTTTCTTGCATAAATGTTTAGAATTCTTGCATGAAATATTCTGAAATGCGGAACCAGTTGAAGAAAAACTCTTCAGTCAGCTCCGCGGATCATGGTCCTGACCATAAGCGGGGTAAATGAGTGTGCAGCTGCAGCAGCTTGTCACTTTCCCCTGTCAAAAGTGCACGAGAACGGGGCTGCTGGAGAGCGAAACCTTTGTGCCCATCTACCAACGCCGCCCATGCTGGCGCGTCCAGCCCCACATTTAGCCGTAGCTAATCACACTTCTTGTAGACGCCCTCTCTTTTCTGCTTGCTCACTACCGCTGAATGCGTTCTTCGCATCGGGATCTTAGTATCTTAACAAGCGTTGCACCTTGAAGGTAACTCGAGCGGAGAGAGGTGACGGCACGGGTGTCACTGTCCCCCCTCCCCTCCCAAAGCCCCTCGTGGACTTCTGCGCGGAGAAGGTGGAACGCTACTGTAGCTGCGACTCATCATCTCCAAGGATAGTTTCATCCGCATAGGTGAACATGCGATTTGCTTCGAGAGGCGAGAAGATCACGGACTCATACACATGCTCTCCAAAGAGCAGTGGGACATTGGACTCCTCATTTCACCGTATTTTATTCCAGTCAGCTTGTCTACATATAATTATCATAAGTACCGATTTTCTTCTGTTTCTCGAGGGCACCTAAATGTCGCCCTCTCAAAACTGCAGTGGCTGCCCTTCAAAGAATTCCATGCAGTCCGTAATCTGAAGCCGTCCACGTTGCGGAAGCTCGTTCCGCAGATTAGTCTCTAGGTATCGCGCAAGGTGGAAGATGAAAGGTCAAGGGAGTAAGTGAGCGACGCCGCGCCGCGGTTCTTATAAGGCTGATAAGGCGGATGGCGGAAGCTGCAAAGATCGAGCTACTTGTGGAAGAGGACAGCCTTCACCCTTCTTTGTGTCTTTCCTGAATTGACCTGTACGAGTCTGAGTCTATTTTGTTAACGTCAGCTCTGACTGTTTATCTTTCAAGCGTGTTCGCTGGAACATCTATCATGAAGTCCACCTGAGCAAACCTTCTCAGACCAGGATCTTTGATTTCAGACGTACAGGCGGTTCTTCTTCGCCAGAAGCCTCTAGGTGGCCCGCTTATCATACCTGTAGTTTAGTGATTGAGAGGAGCCACAAGATGGGCCGCG